TTTGATGAAATTAGGAATTTTCTCTAATGCCGTCGGAAATCTCCACTAGTTTTTATAGATTTTTTTCCTTTTTAAAAAGGAAATAGGAATCCTTTTAAACTATAATAGTCTCAAAACGTAAACATGATCTTTAAAACAAATTTTTGACAATTTTTGTCGAGTTTAATTCAGAAGCCGGTCTAGAAATCTATGGTCAACGAGAGAAAAAGAAAAAATTAACAGATTCGCATGTTGTTTTTGCAGTTTTGATCCTGGTTGTTGTTGTCACAATATGACTTCGCCAAAAAAGAAACGGGAAGGTTTTATGTAATATGTGCGAGAACTGTTCACCGAATGGATTTTTGGATGAAGTAATTATTGTTGTGTTGCACAAAACTTTTTTTTTTCAATTTTTCGTTTTTTCTTCTTTTTTCTTTTATCATTCACATAATTAAATCATTGGGCCCATGTGAACAATCCTCCACCTAAAATTAAAGGGGCAATTTCAAGGCCTAAGGAACTACGTTAGAAAAACTACTGACCGAAAAACCTTACTTTCAACCAAATGAACAATCTCCCTCCTACACTGAATTAGGGGGGAATACTGTTCACTTGGCCCAATCATCCTTTTATCGAAGTCAGAAATGAAGATCATCTATAGAACCTTAATTTTGTTTTAAAAATGACGCAATTATGGTTCAGTTTTTATTTATATAGGTCAGAGTTACGGTCAGAATTGTCTCACGATAGGATAAATTGCACACCTACTAGCAATCTCCCCCTTACTTTCTTTCAAAAGGGGTTGTTAAATAGATTAAACTGGTCAAATTTTTTCAAACTGAAAGACTAGGAAACTGAAAAAAAAACCAATTCAACAAGCCGAATGTTTTTTTTTTGCTACGCAAATAGTCACTTTTTTATGCAATTGTTACGTAATTCTGATGTAATTTACGTTATTCTGAAATAATTTCGGCTGCAAGATAAGGCGATTGGTTGAACAGCCGCAAAAAAAACCGTGAGGAGTTTTTGACCAATCAGAATGCAGCAAAGTCATAATTAAACTGTTCTTTTGCTAATTGTAGTGACTGTTGAAGAAAGTGCGGAATATTTATGCTTGGGGTGATTTTTGATCCGTCAAATGTCGGCTCTTTAACTAAGCATTTTTGACAAACCAAGCAATTTTGACAGACTAAGCAATCCTAGCTGGAATTCATATTTAAACCGATTTTCTACCTGTGATCATTTCTCACAAAGCTATAATGGTTCAAAACTGGACTAGTTTGACGACTATTATTCAAATTGGGGTAACTAACGCGCGATAAATTTTTTCTCGTGAAGCGTCAAAAAATTCTTTCAGAGTGATTTGAGGCATACAATTTGCTTTTAATTACCACACGTAAGTTTCTTTCCTTGAATTTTGCATTAGTTTTTGGGCGGATAAAATGAAGAAAATTTTTTCTCATCTTTTTTTTTCGAATTTTGTGTAAGACTTTTTAAAAGCATGAAGTTGTTGCTAAACTGTTTTAAACCTCTCTTCTGGAGATGACTTTGTACATCAATTAGTTCTTTTAACTGTTCGTTGAAAAGTGGGGATGCGAGTGGTGCTTTTTTTTGAGCAATTTGATGCTGCTTTTTTCAAAGAACTTCAATGGTGCATAGTGATAAAAAATCAATGAAGAAGTGGGAGCAACTAATGTAAGAATACACACTCTTGCTGGAAAAAGATTTTCAAAAAATTTCTGTTGTTGAACTTCGGTTCATTTTCGATTCGATCTTTTTGTTTGTGTTACTTTCAAAAACTGTAATTTTTTCAAATCTTTGAAATCTTTTTTGAAGTAACTATTGTAACTGGTATAATTAATCAACAAATTCAACACACTTTTGACCAGATAATTCAAATCTGGTTGCTAAATTTGTCAATAAGCAATTTCGAACTATAAAAGATGGTTGAAACCGACGATGCTGGAGTTCTTTTCGCAGAACTGAATTGGATCGTTTAAAAAAATACCAATCCAAAAAATTGGAAAAAAAATTGAAAACAGTTTCGTTTTTCTCAGATTTTAAAAGACTGATTGTTAAGTGCATGGGAGGACGGTCGACAGAATTTATGAGTACGGTCGACAGAATTTTTGAAAGTCCGCACTCCCCCCCCCCCCCCCCCCTCTCGATAAAAACCTTTCTAAATCCGCCTCTGATTAGGTAAGATTAAATTAGCAAATGTTCGACCGATCATCAAATCAGCAAAATTAAAATGGTCACTAAAAAACTCTAGTGCCAATTAATTTACTGTTTGTATTTTCAGAACAAAAACTTTAAAAACCAGCTGAAAAAAATGGTATTCTAAAAAAGAAATTAGAAATACAGTCGCTGATTTTCGTGAGTTTGTTGGTTTGTAAAAAATGTCTATTAGGTCGTGCGCACATTTTTTCAATTTTTGACAAACGCTATCATAAATATTGAACTAATCTGGCTCAAAATAATGATGGTAAATAAGTGGAGTCTAAATAATTTGCTAACAGACGTTTGTTTTTTATACTGCCCCTGAGGATTACCTAAAAGAGGATTAAAAAAATCAATTCTTTGATTTCAAAGGGCAGTCAGACTATTCAAAATTTTGGCATGATACGATTAGTCTTGTGTTTTGATTGAAAAAAAAAACGTTTCAGAAGAACAAAGCTGGAAACAAGTGGCTGGAAACCGTAATTTAGAAATTTGATACCACAATTAAAAATTCCCATTTTGTTGCCGAAGAAGAAGATGAGATTCGAACGTTATTTTTCATTATTGCTGGAATTAACGCCAGACCAGTAAATTTGCAAAATTTGAAAAAATTCGAAAAATATTTACAAAAAAATATTTTGAAAACTTTTTGAATATTTCTTATTTATCTCCTAACACCACGGGTAAAAACGACACAATTTGGAAAAGTACTGATTTTCTCTAAATCTCTAAATCTGTGGTCGGAACTTTCTGTCCTACTCTCAGAGCAACCGGCCATTCTTGTTGTGAGAGCCATTTTGCTGAAATTTAATCTGGGCACGCGGTCAAGTGTGTTTCAAATGTCAATTATGGAAATGGATTTTAGTTAGCTAATTTACCCGCATTCCCTCCGACAATTTCCTGTTTTTAGAAATAGTGGATGAGTAAGTTCCGCTTTATGAGGAAAAATCTATCTGTCTGACGTTTTCTTTTCAGGTCCATTAGATTGGAAAATTCCGCGAGCAGACAAGAATGAAAGAAACCTTACCTCTGTCTATCATTTTTGAAGCCCTAAACTATTTTTCTATATTAACCCGTCAAATACAGCATGAAGAAAGTGGGCTTTTGTAAGGGGATGGGTTTTCAATTGTAATGTGCGCCCGGTTTGACGGGTATTTCAGTGTTAATTTCATCAACGAGAACAATGATAACATTGAACTTGTCAGCCGAAAAATGAGATACAGCAAACCGAAAAATAATGAGAAACTTTGAACTGAACGCAGACTTTGAACTGAACTTTGAACTGAACGCAAGATAATTCATGCACTGTCAAAAAATAACCAATACTCAAATTTCTCGGAGAAGGTACAAACTTAAGCTGACTATTTCCAACAAAATGGATCTACTTAACAATTCTCGTTTCAGAAAGGGGAGATTGTTAAGTTTAAGTGCATGGGAGGACGGTCGACAGAATTTATGAGTACGGTCGACAGAATTTTTGAAAGTCCGCACTCCCCCCCCCCCCCCCTCTCGATAAAAATCTAAATCCGCCTCTGATTAGGTAAGATTAAATTAGCAAATGTTCGACCGATCATCAAATCAGCAAAATTAAAATGGTCACTAAAAAACTCTAGTGCCAATTAATTTACTGTTTGTATTTTCAGGGGGATTCTTTAATACTTTAATATATGCCATAGGAGGGGGGGGGGGGGATTGTTTAGCTGATCGAACATTTTTTTTCTATCGACTAGTCGTTTCAATTCTCAGTGAAAATTTGAAGCCCTTGCTTTTTACAAGGCCTTACTTTTTCTGCAGATTTCTGCTATGCAGATATACATTTAGATAAATAGTTCGTGTTAGGAGCGGATTCAGGAGAATGCCACACCCCCGCTTCCTCAAGGATTCGACCAAAAAAAAGAAGTGGGTCAAAACGTTCCAAACAATGCCTAAAAATGGCCTTTTTGGCCTGTTTTTGTTTCAAAAATTGCCAGCGGCGCAAAGTTTTTTTTCCAAAATAAGGTCAGCTTACTGCTTTGGGAAAGTTCGTATATCAATTTTGTCAATGTTTTGTCAAATATGGTCATTTTGGGCTTCGGTAAGGCTCAAAAGATTCAAAACAGCTGATAACAAAATTTTGTGAACACCACTCTCTACTTCATTAAAAAATGTTCTCTGGTTTTCATTATTGAAACAATGGCAAAATATTCGGGGCAGTTCTTGCAAAAACTGGACTTCGAATGATTTTTGGGAGCTTCAAAAGGATTTCAGGTGAATGAGAGCTCGCTTGCTGATTTTCTACAAATTTTGCCAATTTACATCTGCAAAGTAACTGCTCAAAAGCCGCCTTCCATTATTTTAAATCCCTCAAAAAAGAAGATTTGTCTGACTCTGAGAAGTCTGGTGTCTTTGAAGCGCCCTTGAAGGCATAAATTTAAAAAAAATTTTCATTCAAATGTTAGAAAGAAAAAGAGACCTTTCAATTTGAGCGAAAATCTTATTGCAGAATAAAAGCAAAGATTGGAAAAGATTAACTTTTTATTTGAAGGGAGTTGGGTCGATCTTCTCAATGCTGGTTAGCTCCATCCCCTTTTTTCTACACTTTTTTTAAATACTGTGAACAAAACCGAGTCTGCCAAGATCTAGCGAGTATCGATTCCAAACACTTGGTTAATCCAAAAAAAAAGAATAAAAATGTTCTGAAAGCTGTAAAAACATTGACGTTGTAAATGAATTTTTTGTGCTTTAGCAGATGTTGAGCTTCTATGATTAAAACTCCCGGCTATTTCTTATTATTGCTTTGTCTTTAAAACTGACCAATTAACCTTGAATTGCGGTACTTTCATCCCCGGGTTGCACCGTTGTACTTTCTGTCTCGTCCTGAGTCGTGTTTTGACGCGGAAACAAGCTTTCAATAGTCGGAAGAATCGCAGGCGCGAACTCACAAGTCTTCTTGTACGAATCCGATTCGTTCAGGAAAACGCTCTCAATAATTGAGAGATTATTTTGGGCGATATTAGTCACGTTTGCAGGTGAGAAGGAGAAATTAGCCCGGGTGAGGGCTTGGGTTAAACCACAGGTATTGTTGCAGTTGCTGTCTCCCAAAACCCATCGTGATGTAAAGGCAGTGTAAATGCATATGAATTGGGACATAACTTGGAAAACTAACACAAAATAGGCGAGGAACGTTGGTTTGAGCATGCTTGTTTGTTTATTTTTATGTTGGTTATATTAGAAAAATGTGTAAGAATTGTTTCCAAAACAGAGGTTACTAAAGATGATATTATTATACAAACAGCGATCAAAAACTATGATGCGAAGCATAAAAATTTGAAAGTAAGTTGTTGTATGTTTTTTCTATGAGTCTAAGTTATTCGTTATATGGGCGGCTCTCCAATATGGCTCATTGAAACAAACTAGCTAGCTCGTGAATGAACTTCGCATGCGCATTTTGAAAAGTTGAACCGTTCAAATTGAATGAATAATCAATTACATAAAAGATTGATAAAGTAGCAAATAAAAGTGCAAGTGAAAAAAATGGTTGTGCCTCGTTTAATCTGACCTGTTCACTTTTACTTATAAGAGTTGTTCAGATTTTACAATCAATCGTTCTTTTGAAAAAGACGTTTGAAAGATTTCGTTATGACCTGGTTTTTTAAAGCGAGATGAAGATGGCTAACCCTGAGCAAAGAACGAGCCCTGTTCAAAATGTTACTCGTCATAATGGTTAAACGACACCATTAGAAAGTGGTGCACTTTTTCAATTTCAACCTCAAAAATTCGAAATCAATTCGAGGTTCATCGAATCAGTTTTTATCCTTAATTAGGCGGACATGCAAGAAATACAAAAATGGCATAAGTGACTGCCATACACTCGCGAATTAACCAAACGGGAAGTCTTGCATTTTGCTTTATGTAACATTCAGGCATACGTATATTTCCCAATGATTTCATTTTAAAAACAGCCCGCTTTCATGCAGGTAGCAGAGAACGTCCCAAACACAATTATTGCGGTAAGAAAACTGTAAAATTTTTGAATATATTTTTTTTCAGATATCTTGCGAAAGAACTGTTGTAAGAAATGAACATTTTTTAAGTGCCATTCAAAAAATTTCTAATTATGTCGATACAACTGTTGTCAATTGAGCTTAGTTCATTAAATTTCATCGCAATTGTAAAATTCTATCATGACTTCACGCAAAAAAAACGACACTCATTTAGAAACAAAAACTGTTTTTCTAGAATTTTTTAAATGGTTTTGGTCCAACATTCTGTGATCCAACTCTCTAATCAATGTCCTATTTTCGAAAAAAGGATGAAACATTAGGGCTTTTTGTAGCATCTGAAAGAAACAAATGTCCTGACACCAACTATATTTATGTAAGGCCAATTTGTGAAAAATTATTGAGCAAAATATGTCGTGCCTTATTACCGCATAAACAGTCATCTAATCCGGCTAAAAACTGTTTCATCAATTACATCATTTTGTAATGGCTTTTTTGGTACTTTTAGGGTCGCAAACTTAAAAAAAATTGAAGGAGTTTATACAAAAAGAAATCTGCTCATTGAGATCAAAATTTTTTACTCAAATTTAAATTTAAATCCAGCTTTTTAAGCAAAATTTTTTTTCAAATTTTACTTTAAACACAGCTGCTCGCATCAGTGCAAAACACAGCGTTTCTACTACCCCTTGACGTCTGAGCAATAAAATTCGATAGTTTGTTATCTTTTAAAATTTTGAAGTCTATGCACCATTGAAATCCACCATACGCTATGCAAAAAAATGAGGTGACGCAATTAGTGTCTAGTATTGAATTAAAAACTACAGATAGCAGGAAAACTGAAAATATTTGTGAGCTGAATTAAATGGCCGCAAAAGCAAATAAGATGGCACAATAATTCTCCCAAATTAGAAATTTTTTGAAACGCATAATCAAACAAACTTTGGCAACAGGTTTAAACTTTTTTTAAAAATGAACTCAGATCATATATACTTTTCAGATGGCGTAGAAATTTTCAGTTCAAAAATAATTAGTCTAAAAGTCACAATTTTGTGTCTGTACGTTCCTGGATTCCAGAGGCAAGTCTTTAAACATGTTCAAGTTTTGTCGCAACGATCAAAGAAATTGAAAAAACAAAAGAAGCACAAAGGGAGCGTCCTTTTTGCGGAATCCGCTTACGTTTCCCAAAAAGCACACTTTGGCCTCGTAGAGAACAAATCACAAACGAAGAAAAAAACAATTGTACGCTTTTACTTGGAATTTGTTTTATATATAGTCTCATAAACTACGCAAAAAGCTGTTAATACTCAAAACCAATTCTGAAGAGAAAAAAATCATACCGAGAACAAATATTCCATTTTCTTTTCGAAAGTCGAAATGAACGTGTAATTTTAAATCTGTTTAAAAATGGCTTTGAGTATAAACAGCTTTTCGCGTATTTTATGAGACCATCTATAAAAAGGTTCCAGGTAAAAGCGTACAATTATTTTTTTTGTTTTCGTTTGTGATTTTTTTCTCTACGAGGCCAAACTGTGCTTTTTGGGAAATGTCAGCGGATTCCACAAATAGGACCCTCCTTTGTGCTTCTTTTGTTCTTTCTATTTCTTTGATTGTTCCGACAAAATTTGAACATGTTTAAAGACTTGCCTCTGGAATCCAGGAACATACATGCAGACACAAAACTGTGCGCCTATACAGTGCACAGTTTGACCTCCTAATTTGTTTTCGTTTTTGACATAAAAAATTAGTTTTATTCGAGCTACTTAGATTTAATTCCAAAGTTTCAGAATGTTTAATCAATTAAATTATCAATTTATAAAGGAGCAAAATCAATTTTTCAAGCTTTATTTGCAAATGTGATTTTTTTATGAGTTGACTTGTTAAAACTTCATATTTCTCGGCGGCGAATTGGGTGATAAAGTCTTCTCAATTCAATCAACTGCGGTTGTGTAAGGCTTTTATCACGCCGACACAAGTTCGTTTAATCGCCACTTGTGAATGAAAATAGATAATTTAAAGTAAAGGTATAGGAAAATTTATTGGTAGGTATGTGAAAATTTAAATAAAAGTAAATTTAAGAGAAGAGAATTAAAAATAAAAAAAAACATTTTAGATAGCCGCCATCAAAGAGTTGCAGTTAAATGCAGTTTACAGGAACGGACTTTTGTCCTCATGATTTGACTCTTCACCATATTTAAATCCCTGTCCACATGACATCCAATCTCGGATGACAAACCGAAAGGTATTCTGAA